TTTTGTTTTTTTTTTTTAAAGAGAGTGTGAGTTTATGCATCATTGGGTGAATTTAATCAGCTTTGTTGGCTGCTGGATAGAGAATCCATTCCTCATTCTGCTCCATGAAGATTGTGCTCACAAATGGATGGAAGTTTTTGCTTTGGCATGAAAAGATGCCACAGCTGGGCCACACTTGATTTATTTCACACATCTGGAGGCCTCTACAGAGAAGGTTATGGTTTTCCTTCTCAACTCTTCTCCCCTTGCAGAGGTCTGCTGTGAGATTTTCATCCTCTGCAATCAGTTGTTGCCCTGCTGCTCCTAGCACAGATTTCAAGGAGCTGTAGTCTCAAAACATCTCAGATGGTTTTGCTCAGACTCAAGGGAAAACTCCCAGAAATCTGCTCCCAGTCGTGCTTTATTAAGGAATGTTACCAGTGAATACAGATGAATCTGGTTGTGCACCTTGTACTCCCTAAAATGTGACACTTCCCTGCTTTCCCCCTCCTTACTTGGGGGTTCTCTATAGGGCTCAGCTGGAATTTTATCTACAGCCAAGTAAAGTCCAGGTGGGGCAGTGATGGTCCCTATGGAAGGCTGGGAACTGCTGATTCCCTGGGTTTAATTCCTGGAGAAGCAGCTGTGTGTGCCACCTTCCAGCTGCATGAGCAGTGAGCAGAGCCTGGGCTTTGCTGGTCTCTGTCCTGGTTGAGAGGGGATCACCCTTTAACCTGTAATTCAAACAGGTTCTCCACCAGCAGACTGAAATCAGAGTTGTCATAATCTCAGGTGCCAGTTTAGAGAAAACAGTCAAACTAAGAATAATTCCTCTTTTCTTTTTTTTTTGACTGGTTGTGACTCCATTATTTGTCCAGACTTAAGGACTGTGAAATGCAAGCCTTGGGATTCTGCTCTGGTGAAATCTGGTTCATTACATTGCTGCTAACTTTGCTGCCAGTAGAAGCCCGAATGAAATCAGATGTCAGAATACTTGGGGATGATATCTACATTCTAACACACTGTGAAAATATTTACAAGCTTCCAAGATGAGACTTTTCCTGATTAGGGAAATCAAAGAATAGTTTTCCCAGCAGGCCTGCAGTTAGCTCATCCAAATTGCTTCTGTTTTAATTGGCATGCATTTCCTCTAAGCAGCTAGGAGATGAAAAATATTTGACTTGGGCTCTACAGGACTGGAAGCCTCTTCCCCCAGACACAGCAACTCTGGAAAAGAAACCCAAGCAAACAGCCAGCTCGAGTTTATATTGTATTTGTACAACAAAAATCTATCTTGGACAAGATTCCAGAGCAAGGTACAGACTGATCTTCTGACTTTTGAATGAGGAAAATAAGGACGGTGTTTTACTCAGGTGTTCTGTGTGTGAAGCCTTTTGTTACCTGAGTTGTTTCTAAGCGGGCTGTGATTTTATCTCAGCTCCACAGCAGTCTGTTGTTTTCAAACTGCACTTTGGGACTTCTTTTACTCAGTTTTCTACTTTAGAAACAATGGGAAGAGTAAGTAAAACCAAATAACCTTTGTTAGAAGTGACTGCTTTTGTCTGGATAAACCAACTAACGTTGTGTGTGAAATGCATTTACTGGAGTTTTTATTTCTCTTTTGTAGAATGTGTCTGAGGAGGAGGGACATTTTCCCTATAAGTTTTCTCTCAGGGAATGATGAGACCAAATCTGCCTCGTGGAGGAGGAGGTGACCCCGTTCTAGGATGGTGTGGGAAGCTGTGCTCTCAGGGCTTGGTGCCTCTTTATGTTCCAGTCATGAATTAAACCCACCATGGATAGAGCAATGAAAGCAGAACCCACAGCATAAATCCAGTTCACTTTATTCATTGGGTCATTAGGATACGAGATAATTTTGATTGAAAAATGTGCCAGTATCACTTCCTTTAATCAGAATTTCTTGGTAGTTCACATAGAACATATCTACATCTTAAAAATATCAATATTGTGAGTTTTTTTGTAAAATAGTCCATTCCCTCACCTCCACCCAAAAAAACAACAAACAAAAATTCCCACCCAAACCCAGTGTAATTATGGGGTTTCTTGTGGATGAGACTTAATTTCCCCACTGGATGTATTTTGGAGATGCAAAACCCCACAATGGGAATATTGCCACGTGCCGGCCACAGCTTTTCTAATCCTCAGCTTTTGGTGAAGAAATATTCAATATTCACCACTTAGGAGGGATGAAGTGGTTGCATGTCAGTCCTGGCAGCCTGGTGAGGGGCCTGGGCTTTTGCTAGGAGAGATGCTGGGATGGGATGGAGCCTGTTCCAAGGGATTAGGGAGCTGCATTAGCAGGGAATAATGTCAGTCACACTCTGTGCCTGCTGCCTTTCACCATCTGCCTCTCAGAAACGTGAGGTGGTGTTTCCCTGGTGGCACAGCATTAGGTGAGTCATGAGCAGCACACGCTGCCAGTGATTTGGTTTTGAAGCTCTGAAGGAAGTGTAAACTTCATATTTGTTGTTTATTGGTTAGTATTTAATCGGAGGTGAAATTAAAAATTAAGCAGGCAAATGACTCATGCTGAAAAGCAACAGCACTGTCTTGCTGTGGCAGACAAATGACAATGAATTTCTAAGAATAGAAGAAAATATATTAATTTATAGTGATAGCACAGGGAGCCTAAAGAGATGCTTTGATTGAGAGGAGTGGACACTTCCCACAGAAAGATCAGGGAGAAAATGTCTTTGATGCTGTGTTTAGTGCCCTTTGCATCAGAAATGAAATTGGTAGGTGGTTCTCTTCAGAAAATCCTCAAAATTGTCTTTTCTCTGTTGTGTTATGGAACAGTTTAAGAACAATTTTATTATTTTGAAGCAATGTTTAAAAACATTTTTTTATTAGAGCAACATTTTTTTCATCTTCTTTTTTCTTAAAATCCTGGCTGTTTGAGATGCCCAACTCTCGAAACCGTGAACTGCGCTTAGGAACAATTATTATTATTATTTTTTTTTAACCACTGGAAGTAAAGAGCAGCCTGTTATTTCAGCTATTTGTTATCATTATTACTGTCGGCTCAGAGTCTTCCTGGCAGTCAGATCTCCATCTGCATTTTGCTGTGGCTGACAGCAGGCAGGGCCTGGGATGCTGCTGGTAGGAAGGAGGAGCCCTGGCCATCCGCTGCCTCCCGGGATGGAGCCTGTTTGATTGGGCATCTGTGACATTTCTGGCCTGCAATTTTTTTTCCCCAAATAATGCTGCAGGCTGATGCTATTTCTGTTCAGAATACTGATCCATCCTGTTTACAAACAAGAGGAAGCAATAGTGTGAGTAAGGCCTTTTCTTCCTGCTGTATGTAGGGGATTACCTGGGGATGGATTGCATGGAGAGCTGAGCATGGTTCACCATCTCTTGTTTAGTAAATAAAGGCCCTTTTAAATTGCTACTTCTAGTTTTCTATTTGTTGTTTGCTGTAGAAACATTTGGTGCCGAAATTCTTATCTCGTGAATGTGAAAAGCAACATGTGAAATTGAGGGTGGCAGAAGTTCTTAGCACTAGAAGATACATCAGTAAATAGGATGGGTGGGAGAAAAGTACCAGCAGTTGGCTGGTATTTAAATTTTGGTCTGCAATTTTGAAGTTTTTGTAATATCATAGTGAAACTTGCACTTCCTTTCTGTTTTTTGTTTTTAATTATATATATATTTTTTTTTTTAATTTTTTCCTCCGCGGAAATCAAAGGAATGTTGAGGTTTGAAGCTGTAAAGAAAAGGGCTGGTAGAGTTCCAGTTTTTTTAATTGAGCGAGGTAACTCCAAATTAGCGCTCACACAGGCTGATCTTTGTCACTGCAGAGCAATGGTAATATCCTTAGAGCATGGAAATAGCTAACCCTACGTGTTATATCAACTGTAGCTGGGTGAGAGATTAAAATTATTGCACCAGTATAAAACCAGGACTTGAAATGCATTGGGCTCCTCTTGATGTGCTCTATCTGGGCATTTATATATAACTTCCACTGGGGATTGCTGTGCCTAGAAAGTTCAACATGTGCCCTTTGCCTGTGACAGGTTGGTCAGTCATTAGGCTGCTGGGGTGCCCTTTGAGAGATCCTTTTTATTATGAAAACGATTCTGAGACCTCTAGATTAGACAGTGCACTCACACTAACCCGCTTGGAAAAGAAAAAAAGAGAAACCTTTAATCTCTGTTAAAACTCTGCGTGCCAAATATAATAGCTGGTTTCAGCAGTATTTAAACCAAGTTCATTAGAATATGGGAAGGGGAAACAGGTTTTAAAGGATGGCTTTAGCAAGCAATCAACTGTCTCCCAGATGGTCCAAACGGGACTTGTTCAACCCTGCACATAAAAAGAAAATAAAAAAAGGGGAAAAAGAAGTAAAAAGAGAAAGCCCAGCAGCATCCTGTGTGTGTCAGTGCCTGCTGGTGGCTTGGCTCAGGGGAAAGGACTCCTCACACAGACATCCCATCCCATCCCATCCCATCCCATCCCATCCCATCCCATCCCATCCCATCCCACCCCACACATCCCACTGCACTCGTGCTCTGCTCACTCGCACAAAGGCACGGCTGCAGGATGTAATGCATTTAAATATATTCCGCATTTGTCATGGTGGCTCTACAGTTTTTCCCGAAGTTTCACCGCCCTTGTGCTATAAAAACACTTTTGCTTTAACCACGATGAAAGCTGGTGGTGTTTAACCCGTTTTTAGCCTGGGAGCCTTATCAGGGAGCCTTTGTTCTGGGCAGAGGACAGCCCGGCTGGCTGTATGGAGCAGAGCACGTACTGGGGTGCATCCTGCACGCCGGGCTAATCGCTCACTAATTAATATTCATGACTCATCTTATTTAACTGCTCTTGGCACTGGAGCAGCGCTGCCATTGGTGCTCCAGCCGTGGAGAGCTTTACCTAAGGCAGAGCTGGTGTTCTCCTGGGCTGGATGCTGCCAAGCTGCAGCTCCTCCGGGATGCCAGAATCCCCCTGACATCCCTCCGTCCCGCCGTGTAATGAGTCCTTTCTGCTTGCTCCCAAAGGTCCAGAGGAAGAAATGACCATGTAGATTCCACAGCTTGGGTGCAGCATAATGGGAAATGGTGAATGGAGTGGAGCTGGTCTGCAGCCTTGAGAGCAGCCGTTCTGTGACCTCCAGCCAGTCAGGGACACCCTCCACGCCACGAGCATCCTCCAGCCGCTCGCCGGACACTCGCGGGATTCTTTTTAATTTCTCACTTTGGAATTCAAGATTCCTCTCCTTCGATTTTTAAACAGTTTTAAGATTGTATCAACTGCAACGAGTGGAGCAATATAACCAAGCCACGATGGGTGACATGACAAATAGCGATTTTTATTCCAAGAACCAAAGAAATGAGGCCAACCATGCAGGAGAGTTTGGGTGCACTCTGCAGGAACTGCGCTCCCTCATGGAACTCCGAGGGACAGAAGCAGTAGTAAAAATTAAAGAGACTTATGGGGAAACAGAGGGGCTCTGCAGACATCTGAAGACATCACCAACAGAAGGTAAGCACTTCTCACTTCGCTTCAATTAGGGGACTTGGTGTAAATGCCCTCCAGACAGTGAAAAAAGAGGTTTTGATTCCAACCCGAACAGAATTCTCATGGTGCTGCCATTATTCCCTACAATAATAAAACAAGAGTCTTCTAAGAAAGCAGGTAAACCAGTCCAGCTATAGCTAAAGCTGGCACGAGAGTGGAAGGAGTGCTTCTTGTTTTAACAGCTAAATGCATTTATTCTTCCTTAAAATGACACAAAAAATCAGCACATGTTTTAGGCATTGCAAAGAGACTTGAACCTCTGTGCTCCTGGGGGGAAGAAGGTGTAAAAACAGTTGCTTCAAAACAGCTTCTAGGTACTTGGACATCTTGAGAGTATGAAATGACCTTTTGAGATGCACATTATGTTACTGTGTAGATCAATATATTTTTTTTATATTTATATATAGGTTGCTAATCTTCACTTATTATATTACCATAGATAATTTTGCTGAGATCATCAATCTGTGATTGTATCAATGTTTTTATTAGTTGCCCTTCTGTTGTGTGTAAAATTAAGCTACTTACTTTCTTATGTTTAATAATACCATTCATAATTTTCCAGAATCTATTTTCCTAAGTGTTTTTAGAGAATTCTACCTGATCATTTGTTAGTCTGGTTTTCAATGCTCAAACCAAATATCTCCCCATAAAGCATTGACAATTGTGCAATGTCTCCCTCTCCTCATACAATTTTCTTTCTCTTTAAGTGCAAGTAAAATTCTGTTTCATTCTAAGAATTCTATTTTTGTCACTATTTTTATCTCCAAGGAGTATTAACACTTTTGGAAATTACACAGTCTTTCAGTCTATAATATTTCTGCAGTCTTGTAATGTAGCCAAGATGTTCATTTTAAGTTCTTTTCTTTTTCAAGAAGATAGAAGTCTTGGCTTTGTTCCATTCTCTTCTTTCTAAAGTTAATCATTTAGTTACCTCCAGTGTTTAAATGCCTCAAAGTCTGGAATTATTGGTGTGATCATAAACATGCCAGTTGTAGTGTGATGCCATGAATTACCCCAGCTGAGGGTCCCAAAGGAGCCTCTGTCAATGTCTCAGCTTGAAGAATTCCACGTTTGCAGCAAGTCAGAGCTGAAGTCTCTGAGCCGAGCTCAGGGCGGTGACTTCAGTCAAGTTTTGCCAGCTCATTGTAGTGGTTACCTGGTCAATGTGAACTTCAAAGGAGATGTTAATTGCGTTATGTGTTCAATTTATGACATCAGGGAAACTCAATTCCTCATACGGGGACAGAGTGTATGGATCCAGCAGCGTGGCACGCTGACTCCAGCAGTAATCTATATCTGATACTGCAGATAAGGTAACTTTCCTCCAAGCATTACGTGCACTTCATCACTTGTGCATTAGGGAAAAACCTTTCCAGCTTCAAATGGCAATCAGCATAGCCTTGGAATTGTGAAGGCTCTGCTGGGTTTTAATTTTCAAGTAGATCACATAATAGGAGTTCCCAGTCAAACGGAGCTTACATCTTCTTTGTAATTGTTTTGCTTGGAAAAATTCTCTGAAATATGTCCTGTCAGACTCTGGAAATTTTCACTGGAGAGAAAGTATCCATAACGAGAAACTTTAAAGGCTCATGGCAAATAAAAGTTTATATTTAGTTCTAAGTGCCAAGCCATTGTTTTTCTTGATTCCAAGCTCAGCGAAGAGGATATTCTTGGAGACATGACTATTCTTAGAGGAAAGAAAGAATCATTTCTTACTTGGAAATGGAGTTCTAATATCAAGCAGATATGATTAGAAGATTAATTATTGACATACTCAGTTTTATCTTTCGGTAATCTGCAGCAAACTATGGATTCCTCATTGAATACCTTTATGAAAAAACACAATTTGCCACAGTACCTGAAAATCACTTTTCCAACTAGGCATCATTTTTGGTGAAGCACAGTTCACTGAGCTTCCTTTGTTTTTCAGACTTTGGTGTGTTGCACATCTCACATAGTTTTATGGGAAGAATGAAATTAGAATTATTGCAGGGCACTTCTTTGAAGGAACCAAATGGCTGAGCAGGAGTCCTGAGCGACTGTGAAACAGTGAAAGGAACCTGACTGTAGAACTTGGTTCTTCCCTGCCTCATAAACTCTTCCATAAAGTCCTTGTAATTTTGTGGGCTAAGTGCTGAAACAGTTACCAGAGCAGTGGAACAAAATGTTTCCTGGCAGCAGGGATGTGATAATTTGGTAAAATGTGGCCTGACCCGAATTTACTGGTTTATTTAGAAAAGAAGAAGTAGTCATGAGCTCAGAGCTGACTCAATTAATTTCCCATGTTAATATTTGATGTCCCACCTAGGGATTGGTAGGATCAATCACACTTAGAAGTGCTGTTTGAAATGGTTTTAAAGGCCTTGGACTTCTCAAGTTAAGATGTCATATTTGTAACTCAGATGTCACTGACACTGCTGTGAGCTTCATTTCCCTGTGAACTCCTGTCTCAATTCAGCATGGAGCTGGAGAAGTCTGCTGAATGTTGAGTAGAATAATATTTGCATGCTGAATGAATTAATAATATTATTATGGGTTACGAGACTTCAGTCTCTCCTTTAAATTTGCTTTGATTGCTCCTTTAGCTATAGATGCAGTGGAGAACCCAGCTCTCATTTATGCCTGAGGGATTTCCTGCCTTAAAGTGATTATATTACAAAGAAAATCTCCCGTTTAAGTCCTCATAAAAAGAACCTCCCCAAAATCTATGGAAATAATTTATACCAAAAAAACCCCCCCCCACATATATGTCGACTTGAATTTGCTCTAAAAATATTTATGTTCAGATTAGTTTCACTTTCATTATCCCAGCAATACCACATATAGGCAGGATCTAGCCCTGTCACTTTGCAAAACAATGCTGAATCCCCCCTTGGGCAGAGCTGTGCTGACAGTTGTATAATTTTCCATGCAATTGGAGTCTCTGGGGCCCACTGGAGCATCAGTGATACCTTATAAAGGACAGCTGGTAAAATGGGATGAGTTACCAAATGAGAATGAATACCAAATGAGACTGGAATCCACTCTCTCCAATACTTAACTATATATACCCACAATTTTATCCAGTACCCACCAATTTACAGCAGCTTTTTCATCTACTTTCCCCTTATAAAAATGTTTATTTCTGATAGGAGTGTATCAGTGAATTAACTTCCCAGATTTCTTGCTTAAAGTACTTGGATGCCATGATTTCCAGTGCGTGTAAAAAGTGAAGAATTCACTGCACTTAGAGTGATGGAGTACCCTGAGTGGGAAGGGATCCAGCCCAACAATCCCACCCTGTGCATCCATGGGAGCGTTGTCCAAAAGTTCCTGGAGCTCTGGCAGCCTTGGGGCCATGCCCTGCCACAGTACAGTGAAGCTTTTTAAAATTTTTAGATGAAGGAAAAACCTTTCCATGGTGATATCTGTGCAACCACACCTCAAACAGGCTCCAGGAGGTGTTACATGTAGAAATAGGTTAGTAGAATGCACTGGGGGAGAACTTTTTTTTGGTTTTATTTATTTATTTTTTTGTTTTGTTTTTGTTTTTCTGGCTGTAGGTCTCAGGATAACAGGAAAAGATTTCATGGAAAGACACAATATCAATTAACAGTTAACTGATAATATTTCTACTATTTTTATTTCTTTTTAATCATAACAACAGCCCTTAGTTGAGCTTCCAGAGAAGTTCTCTTTCTTTTCAAATGCATGTTTGTTTGTTTTGTGGAGGATATGGACTGAGAATCGATTAGAGCAGCTGGGGAGGTGTGTTTATTTTTCATTATTGCAATCTAAAAAGCCTTTCACAATTTGAACAGTGAGGTAAAAGATGAAGAAAGATTGAATGCAACAAAATTAACCAGCTGCTTTTAATACTCCTTAGTTTTGGTTCCTCACACTTGCTTCTATAAAAATGCACCTTTAATAACTTAATAGTCTGTTTGGAAGCTGCTCTTGCTGGTTCACACTGAATTGCAGTCAGGTGCACCACCGTGTTCAGTCAGCTTCAGAGATGGGAAGAATTTGGACAGGAAATTGGGAAAGGAATGAAAAATACTTGATTCAGACAAATAGAAGTTTAAAATAGAAAAGTAGAATAATTGGATCTGTGATTGTCAGGGAGTGAGCTTTATTTTAACACGCTGTCAAAATAGACCATGAATGTAAAGAAATTGGAGATAGCATCATTTTCATTGATAAAAGAATGCACTCGATCATATATTAAACCATTAAATATTATCCATAAGATCAAGATCTCCTTACATTATTTTACAGTCAAGATTAGGATGGACAATTTTTGATTGATTTTATAATTTCCTGAAACAGGAATGTTGCCAGCCCTCTGAAGCAGATTTTAAGAGTTTCTTTGTGCCGTTGAGCTGAATTTTGGAAACCTTCAAAGCAGCATCTTAGAGCTGCTCATCCTCTCTCGGGTCACCACACTGCCTCACCTAATTCCTTGTCCTTATTTGTGGCGTCAGAACATCTCCTGGAGCTCAGGCCCATTTGTCAGCCCCAGGCCAGCAGCCAAGCTCCCAGCACACATCCAGCCCTTATTTGTCCATGTTGTCCCCACACACAAGGTTTGGTTTGAACAATGAGAGCAGCCCTGGCCATGAACAAACCCCTCAGCGTGGTCAGGGCCAAGGCCCCTGGGGGTTTGTCCTGCCTCTCATGGGAAAACCCCCAGGGATGAACTTTAAACTCATATTTCACTGGGTGTTTGTGCAGTGCCAAGAGTGCCTGAGCTGGTGAGAGCTTGGGGAACTTGGACATTTTCCTGTGGTTCCATCCGTGGGCACTGGCTGCCCCCAAGTGCCCCAGCAGCTCCCAGGGACCTGTGCTTGCCAAAGGAAGGAGGGAAGGGGGCCTGGATGCTCCTCCATTTGGGAATTGCAGTTTCAGAACCCCTCGTGTGTATCCAGCTGGGTTTGCTCTCCCTGGGGAAGAGAAGACCCCAGAAAAAGGCCATGACGGTCTCCCAGTATTTGCTGGAGGCCTGTAAGAAAGTTAAGGAAAAATATTTTAGCAGGTTATGGTAGGAGAAGGGGTAATGGATTTAAACTGAAGGAGGATTTATATAGATTGGATATAAGAAGGGATTTTCATACAATGGGGGTGGTGAAACACTGGATCAGGCTGCCCACAGATGTGGGAGATGTCCCACCCCTG